CTCTTCCTAACTTCTGTCCAGTGGCCACAGTCAAACTAAGAACTACTGATGCCTACAGGCACATTAGCCAACATGGTAGAGGGTCTAAAACTGCTTCTGACTTCATTTGTTTTCTAAACTTTAGGGTACTGGAATCCCAGGGAAAAGCATGACAGCTGCTGGTATTACTCTCACTTAGCAAGGTTGCATCTGCAGGGTGGCCACTCTGCCAACTAGAGACCCACAAGCTGGGTTCACACATCATGCCATACCCTAAACTCAAGTTAACACAGCAGTTTCAACATTACATAACTTACTATGCCCAAACAATTAAACAATATTAAGGCTTAACACAATGATGTCATTCAGACAACACATGAAGACAATGGTTGGATTCCTCCAACATACTCCACTGCACAACATACTCCACTCCTAATCTCATTTTAACCAAGTGTAACATGGGATGGGAACCTATCCACCAAGTATGCTTACTGATGCTTCAAATCCCAAATCCCATTTCAATTGTCCTCAATAGGATAATCCAAGAGGCAAGAGATTAAAAATAAAGAAGGAAAAAGGAACCAGACCTGTGTATAACTGGAGTCCCTCAATCGCTCCTCCAGAACATTCTTCCACACAAAGCAAAGACTAAAGACAGGTACCTCTGGTCAGGTGGATCACCTTCCAGCACCATGCCAGGCTCACAGCAAAGGGATCAATAGCAGAAGTCATCACTTGCCTCTTTCAGGAAAGGTGAAGGAGGGACTATGAGCCTCCAACACGCACTGCTTCTTGCTAGGTTAGATAAGCAAGTGTGAAAAAGCTGGCTGGGACGAGAGAGCTTTTGCACCTGCTGGGAATTCTGCCAGCAGAGAGCTATGCACCCAAGTCAGAGCCTGGCCCATCTGGCAGCAACTGATGTAGATGAAGGAGCATTTGCTGTGCAAGCAGAATTCTGCTGAGCCTCAGAGATGCTCCTTGAGAGAGGATCCAGGCATCCAGAGGTCAGGAAGGAAGCCATGGGGCTTTCTCTTAGGATAGGATGTAAGGGGGAGCTTGGAGCAAAAGGACAAAGTGTCAATCACTGGACCAATGTGCCTGGCGTGCAAGGAAGCTTGACCATGAGTGATGCAGAATCCCTGAAGACTGTTTTTTTCTTCCTTTTTTCTTTAATGCAAGCATGCATCAAGGCTCCCATCAAATGCAGGGATTAAGTAAAGTGATTCAAGCCAGGATGAACATTTTCTAACTGTACAGGAAGACCATAGTAGGATCTGTAAAAGCAGGGCTTTAAATTGAATTGGGGGGAGGGGAGAAAAGTAGGACATTTAAGTTACCCAATAAATAGGAACACTCTGCAAGAGGGATGAGAAGCCAGCAGACCTCATATCACTTTCCAGACCTCAGTTTGCAGCTATAGAGCCCCCTTGGATTTTTATAGAGGGAGGAGCTTGTGAGCCAAAAGGGTCTTGCACAACACTTGCACAGACACAATTCACTGTTTCACCTCTTAAAAAAACCAAATTCCTAAAAATCAGACTGATTTCCCCATTTACAGGGAAAGGTATTTCAGGAGTAAAATTTTGCCACTTAAACCCTCCTCAAGTCCCCCCAAACGCCAAAAATGTTGGCCATCCGTTCCAAAGATAATAAGATGTCACCACCAAGCCCCTAAGAATAGTACAAAGGAAAAGAACTGCATTTTCAGCAACCCTTATGGTGCAAGCTCTTACCATGCTTGCTAACTATTGTTCAGGCTTCTTTTGAACAAGGATTTAACACTCTTTCAGAAGACCAGTAAACTAATGTTTAACTAATGTCGCTGAGTGAGATGGGCGGTGACTAAATTTGAAATGCAAACAAACAGACAAATAAATAAATAAATAGGTGAGTGGTGGGTGGCAGGCTTCTCTGCACAGGAAATAAAAATACTGTCCTGTGATGCAAGCCAGAATAGAGACAGTACAATGGGGCGATGAGAATAGTAAAACCTATGACAGTTTAGTTTTATGCTGGTGCACAGATGAGAGTAGAATACTTTAACTGAGCTGGGGGAAAGAGCCCTTAGGTTCAGAGCACAGTGATCAAGCCCCAGATTCTCATCCAGAAGGCCCCAGATTTAATGGCCAACACCACAAGGCTAAACTAGACAGATATTCATCTTCCCCAATGAACCTGAAACCTATCTAGTCTTCTCCTACCCTGGGCTAAACCATTTTTTAAAAAATATCTGAGATCCCCACTGTTGCATCCAGAGGGAGCTAATGTTTCTCTGGACATCTTCCTTGATGCTCCCAGTTCCATTTGATTTTTACATTTAAAAAACCTGCTAATTAAAAAACAAACCAAGCACACTATAAACTAACATACCAGCTACAAGCATCATCTGTCTTTAAAAAATGCTCAGATGGGCCCCATTAGCTTTCTTATGAAATAAAATCAGGGGCAGATATAGCCTAGTACTTTGCTTAGAAGTATGCGCATCTTTCAGAAAAATGACAAAAATAATTAGGGATAACAGAGAGCATTCCAAGAGGAAGAAGATACAAGGAATGGCAGATAACGTTCTGATAAATTAGTGGTTTCAGCTTTTCCCCACTTGTACCTAACCTATCCTGGCAACATCATGTTTCTATAGCATTCCCGTTAATGTTACTTTCATCTTATCCCAAGTCCCTGACTGAAACAGGGTAAGTTTGTCCTATGGTTAAGTACAAGTGGGGAAAAGCTAAAAGCACTAATTTATCAGAATATTATCTGCCATTTCTTGTGTCCTCCTCCCCTTGGTATGCTCCCTATTAGCTCTACAGATATTAAAGACATATTTTCCCCTTACTAGGACACCATTCAAGGATAGCCTCCAAGGTGTGTATAATCTCTTAGGTCTTGTCACCTTGGAGTCAGTGAACTGCAGTAACCAAGAACAGGTCAACAGAGGACAGATAGGGATCAGCATTGGGGCAGCAAATATCATGTTGGCATATTTTTCTGCCAGCTCAAGGATGAGTGGATGGTATGGTAACTTGGTACAGGGGAAAAGCCCTTTGTAATTGGTTACCACCCACCCAGAAGTCATTTTGCAAAATCACCCACATGTTCTCAAAATTCTCAGTATGCCCACCACCCAAAAAAGATAGGAATCTCTGATTTAAAGGGCACAACCAAGCCAAAATCTGCATCGATTCATATCCCAGACTGACTTCTCTATGACTCAACCCTTTCCTAAGCAGGTACTGCAAGAATCATGTAGAAGAGAGCAGAGAAGATTGCCCAAATAATTGATTTGTCAGTTTATCTTTCCTTCCTTGGCATTTTTAATTAAAAACAAAATCGTGTTGCCAGACTGGCCTGAAACAAAATTCTGCACAGAAGCTTATCTGTGCATAAGATGAGAGAGAAATGAAATGCTGACAAGCATGGCAATGCATCATTACAGCAGATCAAGAAATTGTAGTATTAAAATATTACCCTGCAAAGCTTGGATAAAGAAAGAGAATGGAAAATAAGAATAATCACATCAACAGCTCGGAAGCTGCAAAATGAGTTTATTCAGAAAGATGCATTATAGCCTATAAATTTAATAGGTGCAGGGAATTATTGATAATATTTAATCAACCATTATTTGTAAAGTTATTTTTAAAAAAATAACCACATGGGTATTTGAGACTCAAACATTGGATGCTGATCAGTCTTTTCCAATCATGTTAGATTACAATTCCAATTATATGTAGACACTCCCCTCCTCCACCAGCAAGAATTCCTTCTGGCAAGAATTTAACTGCTACAACACAATGCTTTCTTTAAGCCAACAGTGATTCCATAGTTTAGTTTATTATTATTGATTAGCCATTAGGCCATATCAAGATACAGAGTATAACACATGTAAAACATAAAACATTATTAAGACCATATATTAAAAACAGGATAAGAGAAACAAATTAAAAGGAAAGAAAAAAGATGCAAATCATATTTCTGTATCACCCCTACAATTTACTTTGATCAGATCCACATATGCAGATCTCAACTGTACTATTTTGTTGAAATAAAGGGCCGTATTATATGTAATTTTTGAATTCTGATCGCACATTAAATATGTTGTTTTAATATAAGGATCCCA